AGTGAAACAAGTCAGTCACGGAGAGACAAATACTACAGAGAGACACAACTCCATTTCTAGGGTGTATTTATAGGAGCCAAACCTATAGAATCAAAGAGTGGAATCGTGGTTGCCAATGGCGGGAGGGGGGAAAATGGGAAATTGCTAATCAATGGGCCTAAAGTCTCAGTTAACAAGATGCATGAGCTCTAGCGATCTCCCATTCAACACTGTACATACAGTCAACAGTGTATTGGACGCTTAAAAATTTAAGAAGGTAGGGGCGCCTGGGTGGCTTGGTCAGTTAAGTGTCTGACTTCGGCTCAGGTTATGATCTCATGGTTTGTGGGTTCGAGCCCCACGTTGGGCTCTGTGCCGACAGCTTGGAGCCTGGAGCCTGCCTCGGATTGTGTGTGTGTGTCTCTCTCTCTAAAATAAATATTAAAAAAAATTAAGGGGGTAGATCTTACCTTAAGCTTTAACACAATTAAACTTAAAAACATAAAATAACTTTAGAGACCAACCCCCCACAAAATATCTTGATGTGTCAACTAAACTGAAGTCAAACACTAAACAATAGCAAACAAAAGTTTTTCTTCTTCTTCAAATGTTTGAAAGAATCACATCACAATCTGGATTTGGTTCCCTTTAAGCAACTATAATTCTAAATATTCTCTAACGATCTGGAGGAGGAATAGGGATTCTATCAGGCCCAGAATAAATCAAGGGGAACTAAAATATCTACTTCCCCAAATGGGATACTTTGCTGAACCAAAATAAAAAGGAAAAAAAAAAAATCCATGGAATTTCATGTGGGATTTGAAGAATGGGTGACCAAACACCATCGCTGGCATATTAAGAGGGGTGTTTGGATTCTGGAGAATTTCTATGCTATGGTTTTTATCTGAACGCCCACAGCAAGCCTCCACCGCTCTCGTCAGTCCCTCTGGCCGCAGCAGAGGCCGGGGCTAGCTAGAGGGGATGCAGGGAACAGCGTGCAGCACAGGGGTTATGAGCAACAGCTCTGAAACTCGGCATATCCTGAGTTCAAAGGCTGTCTTCTTGCTTATGAATGTAATAATCTTGAGCAGGTCAGCTGAGCCCTCCAAACCTTAGTTTCTTCGCCTATAAAATGGGCTAACAGCCCCTGTTCATCTGACTTATTCTGAAGGTTAAATGAAATTCTATGTAGCACATGCCTGGTGGTTGTCTTTGTAAAATGAAATATATTTGTTACATCGGGTGCTTCAGATTTCTTACCCATACTTACTATGGAGGAAATTCATCAATGCCACACCCGACAACAAACGTCTGAGTCTCCAGCACTGAGAGGGAAAGATTCCTTACTTTGAAGAGGAATGGACAGAGGGCCAGACATGAAATAAGGCAAGTACAGTAAAACCTTAACTGCAGAACCTAGAGTGGAGGACACGCCTGAGTATTTTTGTGAGTATTTTGTGAGTATTCTTCACTTGGTGGTATGTTTTTTTTTTTTTCGTAATACAATGTCAGGGGGGAAATTTAATGCAGAAAGAAGAATGAAGAGAGAAGAGAGCCGGACTGAATTTATAACAGAACACCAACTAAAGCTAGACCCTGAAGCAAAAACACCCTAATAACAGGGCTGTCCGATCTCTGCCGACTCCCAGCCAGGGGGCGAAGCACAGCACGCGCATGGAAGCCACGTGTCTGGGTCAGCAGCGCGACAGGTGGACGGCGAGACACACTTGCATCTCGCCGAGACATCTATCTCCCGCTGGTCTCTACACCGCACAGAGCTTTTATCTCCAGGTCACTGCCGTCCCAATCAAGAGGCTAAAAGCAGAACAATGTGCTAAATTCAAGGAGCCACGGTGTGCAGTCGGCTGAAGATACAGCCACTGCTTAATTAATGTGAAAGACACGCCCCTTTTCTCTCCTCCCTTTCTTCCTCGCTTGTCATTTTACGTAGATTCCCGTTTAGTTTTTCCCTTGATTTGTTTTGTTTTTGAAACACGCCTCCATAGGAGATGAAGACTAGGAAGTCAATCGTGAATTCCTCACATGCAAGTCGTATGTCCTGGAAAGAGACACCCAGAAAATGACCCACAAACACTGGCTTCATTTCTCAAGAGCTCTCCAACTGCCATTCCTGAAAGACCACGGAAGACTTTGGTGAACAGTGCCACACAGTGAGGGAGTCCTGTGATAGTGCAAGAGGTCCAAGTTCAAATAAGTATGGCGGGCTTAGACCACAACCTACTTTTAGCAATGTAACGTGGGGGTGCCCGGGTGGCTCAGTCGGTTAAGCGTCTGACTCTCGGTTTTGGCTCAGGTCATGATCTCATGTTTTCATGAGTTCAAGCCCTGCATCGGGCTCTGTGCTGATAGTGTGGAGCCTGCTTCAGATTCTCTCTCTCTCTCTGTCCCTCCCCTGCTCACACGGTCTCTTTCTCTCTCAAAAATAAATAAATTAAAACTTTAAGAAAAAACCCCACCATGTAATTTGGAAAAAGAAATTACATCCAAAAAGCCTTACGTAGAGAGAATGTTTTCAAGGGCTGGTGATTGCCCAGTAAGACTAATTTTCATTATCGTTATGGTTTTTCATTTATAAGAATAAATGAATATCCTTCTAAGAGCAAAAACTTTTGTTGTTGAGATTCTGATTTACAAGGAAGAGGTACAAACATTTGGCTTCTAAGAAATGTACAGCCACTGAGAGTTCTTTAACCTCGATGCCATTTTCACCTCATTTACTCAGAACTGTGGCTCACACTGTTCAGGGCCAAAGCAAATTGTAATCCAGACCTCCTAATATTTCTCTTTTCCTTTATCCTCGTCAAGGACTCTTATCTAAACCACTTTGCCTCCTGCTGTGGAAATGGTTTATATTCTTAAAGGTTTCCTCTCAAGAGGGGAAAAAATGGTACTTAACGGCTAACGATAGTAGTAAAACGTCAGTAATGTGATATTGCTAGCATCCACACATGCTCTACTGCACGTAAATTGTAGTCCAGATGAACTCTACTTTAATAACGTGATCCCAGGGCTCCAGGGCCACCACTGGGCCAGCTATTAGCAGTCACAGAGCTGGGAAGGAAGTCTGCACAGTGATAATCACCACCATGATTCAGTGAGCGCCTACTGTATGCCAAGCACTGAGATCAAGATGTTACTTAACATCTAATCCTCACAACTGCCTGCAAAGGTAGGTACCATTGCCTCCATGTCACATTGGTGTCTTCCTGGCAATGCCTCCACCCTTAAAAACTCCCAGGGCTCTCATTTCAGCCCCAGACCCCCTCATCTGTATTTAAAATATTGGAGTACTTATCTCTCAGGACACTACGCATTGAGCTGTTCAGAGGTTTTTGCTGGGAAGTGGGAAAGAAGATGGAGACAGTGAATTGATGATCCTGACCTTGTAGTTTTCAGTTTTCTCTAGCTCCTTGTTCCTTGGCTTTTCTTGGTACCATTATATTCTGCATATGCTTATTGTCCATACTCTATGCAACCTGAACTGTGGATTTATTTCTCTGTCAAAGTCAAAAAGTTGTTAAAACCCTTCCAGCCTACAGCCACGTCTGTCTTCAAGTGCAAAACACTCCAGATTTAAATGCTATGACTATATTAGCCATGGAGGTAATACACACCTTTCTACTTTTAGAAATACAGTCGTGTGCAAATGACTTATCTCATCTTCACCTTGTTATGAGAACCGATGAAACTGACATTCCCCACCTCTCACCCAAACAGGGAAATGAACCTTTCAGCCCACTTCCAAGATGCCCAAACAGCTTTGCCACATAACTTGGTCTCCTACTGCTTGGTTCTGAATAACCCAAAAATAGCTTTCACTATAGCTATTTGATTGGCTAAAGTCACTCTATTTTCATCCCTTCTGTCTGAATAACTTTTACACTAAGTCATAAAACTAAGACGTAGAAGTAGTTGCGGATCAGTTTCGGCATACTTCTCCTGCTTCTCCTGAATAGTTGTTTCCCTGAGTCACGGATTTGCTCAGTACATAGTATTACTTAGTACTTACACTGTGCCTGGTTCCTGAGACACAAACACTGAGCCAAAATAGACCCAGTATGAGCCCTCAGGGAGGTTACAGTCTGGTGGAAGAGACAGGCCCGCACTGAACACACACACAATCACTGCAAGTGAAAGAGGCATGAGAAAGGGGAGGGCCTGACCCAGTTAGCAAGGTGCAGCGGGCTTTCCCACTGGGCTTTCTCAAGCAATACTTGAGCTGAAGAATGATTAAGGGTCCCGGAGGCGCAAACAGGCCAGAGGAGCTTTCTAGAGAGGCCTGAAGGAGGAACGCAGATGCGTGAAAGGTGGCCAACGTGGCTGCGGTGCACAGACCTAAGGGAAGCCTGCTGTGAGCGAAAGCTGGAGGCGCGGGGTGAGGGCCGACACAGCCGCCAGGGGTCTCCTCTCTATGCCACAAGCAACGGGGACGGGCTGAAGGGCGAGGACAGGACCTGGTTTGAATATGGCTGCAGCGGGGAGGCTAGGCTGCCGCAATTCACAGCAGCAGGAGACAAACCAGTCAGGAGGCTGCGGCAGCCTGGACCAGAGCCGTGATGACGAAGAGGGGGTGTGAGGGTGCGATGGGGGCACGACGGGGTGTCGGACCGTGCCATGACTGCGCGGGCGTGGATTCTCTGAATTCTCAGCCACACCCCGTGGGGTAGGGGTTCCTTCTCACGTTTTACAGATGGGAATGCACAAGCACGTAGACATCTGTCCAAGGTCCAGGTGGGAAGCCACAGAACCAGAACTTGAACCTATGGTTATTTAGCTTCAAAGCCAACTACACAGGTAACGTGTAAAAAGGGGAAACATACAGATAGAAAAAAAAATACGGTATGAGAAATACTGTAGCAAAGTTTCAAAACTTAAAAGCTTCTCCACCTACTTCACAAAGGTACCAAGGGATGAGCCCCAAGGATGAACAGGATTTTAGGTTTCCCTTTACTAAATAAATTGGACTCTCTTCCGACGTTTTATACTCATGGAAGGCATACCTATTTCAACATAGCGACTTGGCAAGTCCCTCATTTCACTGGCATGCCGCTCCTTCACTGAGCAGATCTAGAAAAGAAATTCATAGGTTCTTTTATTCATTTGATGGAAAACTCCTTGTAACATTTCATCACTGTAGGATACTTTTGTTAAATTAGCCATGTAGCAATGGAGATGGAGAACACACAATCTACTCAGCGACTTCACTGATAGAAATTAATTTCAATGACATATAGCAATGATTCCTTACGTTCTCCAACACTATTCTTCAGTAAAGTCTTATTTGAGGGCAAAGAAAGAAGGGAAACTAGCATTGTTTTAAAATGTTTCCAATGACTCATTCTCGGCAACTCTACTTAGGGGCTACTTCTTTTAATTTTTTTTTTTTTTAATGTTTGTTTATTTTTGAGAGAGAGAGAGACAGAGTGTGAGCAGGGGAGGGGCAGAGAGGGAGACACAGAATCCGAAACAGGTTCCAGGCTCCGAGCTGTCAGCACAGAGCCCAGCGCAGGGCTTAAACTCACAAACTGTGGGATCATGCCCTGAGCCGAAGTCGGATGGTCAAACGACTGAGCCACGCAGGCGCCCCAAGGTCTGCTTCTATCATCGTCCAAATGAAGCTCTGCCCAACGACTAATCTGGGCAACATTCAGATTAGGGCCTGTGTTTCTGATGACATATTAGCCATTTATTTCACTGTTGCTATATCATACTATGCGTTAAGTGGCATCATGCTCTTCTTCTCTCAAGTGGTTTTTTTTTTTTTCTTCCCAAGTGTTTTAAAATCAATGTATTATGTACTTTAAATCAGGACTGGCAAACTACAGCCTGTCTTTGACTTGTCTTTTTATGATCTGTAAGAATAGTTCTTACATTTTGAAAGGCTAGAAAGGAAGGAAGACACAAGGAGAAACAGTATATAGCCCACAAAGTCTAAAGGATTTGCTACCCTCTACAGAAAGTCTGCCAACCTCTATTTTAAATTATATGTAGGGGCTACCTGGGTGGTTCAGTCAGTTAAGCATCTGACTCTTGATTTCAGCTCAGGTCATGATCTCACAGTTCATATGTTCAAGCCCTGTGTTGGGCTCTGAGCTGACAGAGTGGAGCCTGCTTGGGATTCTTTCATCCTCTCTCTCTGCCCCTCGCCCACTCGAGTTTTCTCTCAAAAGAAATCAACTTAAATCATTAAAAAGTAAATTCTATGTATACAGTTTGGACATATGTGTGTGTGTGTAGCAGTTTTTTTTTTAAGTTTATTTATTTTTGAGAGAGGGGGAGGGGGAGGGGGGAAAGAGAGAGAGAGCGAGTGAGCGAGCTGGGGAGGGGCAGAGAGAGGGAGGGAGAGAGAGAGAGAAAGTCAATGGGCTGAATGGCAGAGAGTGAGAAAGGCAGACAGAGAATCCAAAGCTAATAGTGCAGCTCGAAGCCCGACATGGGGCTCAAACCCGTGAACCGTGAGATCATGACCTGAGCCGAAATCAATGAGTTGGACGCCTATCTAACTGAGCCACCCAAGAGCCCCTTTGCTGTTTTTTCTGAAACGAATACATTCTCTTTTGTAATAAGACAACAAAAATTTACATAAGTTCTGCCATCGAAGTAAGACAACCCAAAGTTAAAAACTGATTATACACAACTTTAGTCAGGGATCAGGGTTTTTTTTTCCTTTTTCTTCAGATAGCTATAAAAGAACACAATAAATACTATTACCCTAAGTTTAGCTACAAAATAGAAAATTCTAACACACAGAAAAACCCTAAGAGAAAACAAAAATATTATTCATTGTCCAAGTACAAAGATAAAACATTAACAATCCCTCTTTTTTTTGGAAGCTACTTTTATTAACTTAACAAGTTGACGTATTATTTAAATATTCTTCCACAATACAATTCTTTAACCTCAATGGTATTTCACTGTATTGAGTGTACTGTAATTCTCTTACTCAATCCCCTTTTAGACATTTGATTTTTGCTTCTACATAACCCAAAGGCAAGTAACAGCACGATCCACATACTTGGATATAAGACTCTTGGGCTTTTGTTTCCACGGGATAAATTTCCTAGATGCAGAACTGACACATCAAGGTGTGCTATTATCTGTTGAGTACACATCTCCAAGCTGCTGTGCAGCAGTGTAGTGACCACGTGACAGTCCTTCCTCTAAGGCAGGACTTGAACCCACTGCTGTGGAGGGAGAAGCATTTGCTTGGAAGGGACTGGAAATATTCTCCCTTGACTGCTTTTTGTTGCCTGTCCATCTCGGACAAAGTCCTGTCCACTTCCCCAATATTCCCCGATTTCCTTCTTCTTTTGTTGGATTTCTGATCTGACATGTTGGCCATTCCATCCACACTTATGAGGGAAACTACCCAAATGTCTAGCAGGCACGTCCGGCAGTGCCAAACGGACACTGCACTGATGATTAATGTGCTAATGAAAGTACACAAGCAGTATCTCAAATGGTTTGAAGCAGAATCACAGAAAGTAACCCGGAAGTAATACTACCCAGCGCTCTGGGCAACTACTGAGCACCAGTCCTCAGTTAAGAGTTTTGAGAGGGGCGCCTGGGTGGCTCGGTTGGTTAAGTGTCCAACTCTTGATCTCACGATTTGTGAGTTAGAGCCCCCACATCAGGCTCTGTGCTAACAGAGCAGAGCCTGCTGGGAATACTCTCCTCCTCTCTCTGTCCCTACCCCACTCAAGCTTTCTCTAAGTTTAAAACAAACTTAAAAACAAAACAAAACAAAAAACCAAGAGTTTTGAGAGGGGCGCCTAGGTGGCTCCGTCAGTTAAGTGACAGTTAAGTGAGTGATTTTAGCTCAGGTCACGATCTCAGTTTCTGGGATGGAGCCCTGCGCTGTCAGCACGGAGCGTGCTTGGGATTCTCTCTTTGCCCTTTCCCTGCTCAAAATAAAGAAAAAAGTATTTTTTTTAATGAAAGAAAAAGTTTTGAAAAACAGAGCTCTTTTCTTAGGAAGATTATGGTGCCGTAGGGGAAGATAAACAAATACGGACTTTAGTCAAATGTGAAGGGGAAGGAGAGAAGCACAGAGCAGGGGCATCTATGGCTGGAGCGAAAAGCGAAGTCACGCCAAGGCCGGCCTGCTTCCCTGGCCACGCTACAGCCGCTCTGGAGACCAGGGCAGTACCGGAGGCTGGGCTCTCCTCCCCAGGTGTGTGGCCCGGGCCCCAGCCCAGCACCTGCCTCGCGTGGGTGAGGAGTGCGTGCTAAGCTCGTGTCCTGCAGAAGAGCAGATCGATAATGTCAAGAGCCTCTACTCTGACAGGTTGATTCTCACCCGTGAACACTAGTTACATCATCCGACTGTCTCCTCCACTTATCTAACGGGCATCTCAAGTGGACACACAAAATCTACTCCTGACTTGCCGTCTAAATGCGTTCTGCTGGCAGCCCTTCCCATGTCAGTAAGAGGGAGTTTATTTCCCAGTGTCACAGCTTAAAAGGGTCACCGCTGACCTCTTCTCTTTTCCTTATATCCCGCGTCAACCTGTTAACAGTATAGGGTCTACGCTCAAAACACATCCAGAATCCAGTCGTTCCCCACTGGCTCCGCTAGGCTGATCCGGGGCACTGACTTCTACTGAGGTTCCTGGGCCTCCTCCTCCTCCCTGTCTCCCCTCTTCACTGCCCCCTTTGCTGTCTGGCTCTGCAGGGCAGAGCGAGCCTTTCCAAACCCAGAGTCTGACCATTTAACTAGCTCCATGGCTCCAACCCCCTCTGCTGGCTTCTCATCTCGCTCAAATTAAAAGCCAAACATTGTACAGAGGCAGGTGAGACCCTCCACACTCCGCCCCTTCACAGTGCACCCGCCTCTGTCCCTCTCCTCCGCACCTGCTCCATCCACTCCGGCGACGATGGCTTTCTTTATGTCGCACAAGGACACGCCCATCGCACTCCTACCTCACAGATTTTGCCCCGGTTCCTGGCCCTGCTGAGCTCCCCCTCCCCAGCTGCATGGCCTCCTCCCTCCAGATCTCTGCCCAAGGACATGTTCAGTATGACAGACGTCTTCCCTGGATGGCTCTATATTAAATGGCACGCACCGCCAAGCACCCCCCATTTCCCCTTGGTATTTTACCGCCTTCCACATGCTACGTTCACTAGCTCGTCCATCTTCCCCAGGAGAGAACTCATCTACTTACGTATCTGCAGCACTAGAACACTGCCTGGCACGTCGCGGGAACGCAGTAAGTGTTCGCTGGGCGAGTGAATGAATGAAGCGGTGGGTCAGTGCCAACTGCACCCTGCCGCGCTGTGAGGCCGTCCCTCCCCGACGGGCCTGCTCTTGGAGGAAGGGCGAAGTCCTATCTTGTCTTCCCTCGGCAGAACACAGTGGGACTCTCAACTGAGAGGAAGTGCCCAAAACGTTACCAGGAGGAATCCCCAATAATAAGAAACACTTGGTGTGAAAAATGACGTTGGACCGTCATCCGGGCGTAGTGAAGTGTGTTCGTCTCCCCTGGCTGCTCTAAAGGATGGACTTGGTGGTTTAAAATAACATAAATGCGTCCTTTCAAATTTCTAAAGGCCGGAAGCCTAAAACCAGTTTCACTGGGCCAGAATCAAGGTGTCTGCACGGCCATACCCTTCGCAGAGGCTGGGGAGGAGACTCCATCTGCCACACGCGTCCGCGGCCTCTGGTGGCTGTGCGCATCACTCCAGGCCTGCCGGCCCGCTCGCACTGCCTTCCCTCTTTCTAGGGTGGTGCTCTGTTTTTAAGAATACCTGGAAGGGGGGTGGGTGCATCTGGGTGGCTCGGTTGAGCGTGTGACTTCAGCTTGGGTTATGACCTCATGGTTCGTGGGTTTGAACCCGGTGTTGGGCTCTGTGCTGGCAGCCCAGGGCCTGGGGCCTGCTTCGGACTCTGTGCCTCCTCCTCTCTCTCTGTGCCCCCCTGCTCAGGCTCTGTCTCTCTCAGTCTCTCAAAAATATATAAATGTTTAAAAAAAATTTTTTTTTAAAAAGAATGCCTGTGACTGGGGAGCCTGGGTGGCTTAGTTGGATAAAGCGTCCAACTTCGGCTCAGGTCATGATCTCACGGTTCGTGGGTTCAAGCCCCACGTCAGGCTCTGTGCTGACAGCTCAGAGCCTGGAGCCTGCTTCATGTTCTGTGTCTCCCTCGCTCTCTGCCCCTCTCCCAACTTGTGTGCACGACACTTGTGGACACTTGGTCCATTCAAGGAATTTAAAATAGGTCAAGAACAGAAGCTTACTGGATGCGTAAGCACGCAATGCGGGAAGACTAGAGAATCACCTTTCACTCCTTTTACCCTAGACTACTGCGCACAACTTCCCCGCTCTCCTAAATGTGAGCCGGGCTATGTTCACCTCACGCCTGGGCCAACCAGTAAAGAGGAGCTGAATCATACCGACGTGAAGGCCGGGAGGGCCTTCCCTCAAGTTTACAGTGATTGCTTTTGTAGTAAGAAGCGCTCAGTGAACAGTTTTCATGCTTTCCTTTTCCAGAGAAGAGTACATTCTTTGTTTATGAGAGAGAGGTCGTGTGTATGCATGTACGAGCATGGGAGGGGCAGCGAGAGCGGGCTCCACGCTCGGCTCAGTTCACAGCCCGATGCAGGGCTTCATCTCACAAACCGTGAGATCGTGACCCGAGCCAAAATCAAGAGTTAGAAGTTCAAGTGACTGACCCAGCCAGGCGCCCCAGAGAAGGGTACATTTTAAATAACCATGTCTCCTTCATGACTTGTCTAGAATTTTCTGGCACAATAACGACACCCGAGGCTTAGGAAGCACTTACGGTATGTCAGATGCTACGTACGCTAAGCTCCCTGTATGCACTTCCTCATCTCATCCTCCCCCACACTCACGACCGGAGCACAGTCAGCACACGGTCAGAGGAAGACTTCGGCTCACACAGGAAGTGCGTGGAGAAGGCAGACCCGAAACCACACCTGTCTGACTCTAAAGCCTGAGCTGTGCCGCCAGACCGTTGCTGGCACACTTTCTCGTACTATTTTCGCCTTGGTTAATTTTTAGTTTATTTTGTTTAGATTAAGCTATACATTGTTAAAGGGAAGCCAGTGACTTTGGGTTCTGAAATATCTAACACAAGACAACCACTGGTACGCAAAGTCTAAATGTGAATGAGCTCCGGGCCCTCTTCTGTAGAGTGGCTGCTTCTCTTTCACACGGATGCACATGTTCCATAAAGAGCTAAGGCCAACTGGGCAACGAGAAATTTAAAGGTCATAAATGGAGGTGCCAATGTGAATAAGGAAATACTCCCCATCTGTTTTGCAGGGCATGGAAAAGGCAGACTTTATCTCCAAATTTATGCAAATGAAAAGAACTGAGCATTAAATGAATTATCATAGGACAATAATGAGCAAGGGAAAATATCTTGGTTCTAGAAAGCCATTCAAGATCTCCTATTCTTTTGAGCGCCTGGGTGGCTCAGTTGGTTAAGTGTCCAACTTTGGCTCAGGTCATGATCTCACAGTTCGTGGGTTCGAGCCCCACATCAGGCTCTGTGCTGACAGCTTGGAGCCTGGAACCTGCTTCAGATTCTGTGTCTCCCTCTCTTTCTGTCCCTCCCCTGCTCATGTTCGCTCTCGCTAGCTCTCTCTCTCTCTCCCCCCCCACCTTCAAAAATAAACAAACAATAAGAATTTTTTTTGTTTTTTAAATAAAGAAAGAACTCCTGTATCTTTGGACAACCCTCAGTGGATCTGTAACAACATGAACTTATTAGAAAGGCAAGGGGCTCCTGGGTGGCTCAGTCGGTTGAGCGTCTGACTTCGGCCCAGGTCATGATCTCACAGTTTGTGAGTTCGAGCCCCGTGTCGGGCTCTGTGCTGACAGCTCGGAGCCTGGGGCCTGCTTCGGGTTCTGTGTCTCCCTCTCTCTGCCCCACCCACGATCATGCTCTGTCTTTCTCTGTGTCTCAAAGATAAATAAACGTTAAAGAAATTTTTCTAAAAAGGAAAGGCAAGCAAAACCACCTTGACTGAAGTCCCCCAGCCAATAATCAGCGTCACGCTGTCCTTCCAGCAGAGGCTACAGGGATACATATCCGGGCGGAGACTTATATCATCCCGGGGCACATTGGTGATTCTCTGCTTTGAGGTGACGTCAAAAATCTTCACGCCCTGGAAGATACAACAGCATTAGGTGTCCTCCGCTCGGGAGAAGGAAAGGTAAGGAAAATTTAGTAACAGCCGCTGCTACACGCCACCCGTAACCAGCACCGCAAAACACCGACAGCGTTTCCTGAGCACGACTGGGAGCCACGCTCCGGGGCCACACACACCCCGTGAGAGCCCACAGCATAAGGAAACCTCTACCCTCCTTTCTGGACCAAAGAGATTTTATCAGCAGATGGCTTCCGTGGCTCAAACACAACGCAAGTGTGAGACGTCCAGGTATCAAGCGTTGCATTTCCAGGATGACAAGTAACATTTCTAATTGTAGTGTTCTGCCACAAAAACGGAGGTTGTGTTTTAGAAAAGCTTTGAATCTGAAAAACCACTATGCGTAAGGAAATGTGTACCTGACATTTTAAAGCACTCAGACGGAAACATCAAGCAAGCAGCTAACTAACTACAAATAAACCGAGGGGCACCTGGGTGGTTCAATTAAGCGTCTGACTCTTGATTTGGGCTCAGGTCATGATCTCATGGTTTGTGTGATCGAGCCCCATATCTGGCTCTGTGCCACCATCACAGAGCCTACTTGGGATTCTCGCTCCCCCACTCTCACTGCCCCTCCACTGCTCATGTTCTAGCTCTCTCAAAATAAACAAATATGAAAAAAAATAAAATAAAATAAACAGGTTTGTTTAACCTTTGCTATGACTCGGGAGAAATTTCAGAAAGTCCTGACTAGCAAAGTAGGTTCTGGGAGAATTCAACCACTTAAAACGGAACAGAACCCTTTGATCACTGAAGAACATACATCAGTGCCAATTACAGAGTTGCAGCTAAATGAATTTGTTGTATTAATGCATGAAATTTAGTTAAACTTGTCCACGCTACTTTGGTCCTCAAAATTAAAATTCTCCAACTAGCAAAATAAAGCAGTAAATATGAAAAATAAATAAATAAAATGGAATAGAACCAATTTGTTGAGTTAAACCCTGAACTTCCAAAAGACAGGCTGGATGTCAAAAGCTAGTCTTTAAACTTTCTACTCGCCCTAACTCATAGGGAGTAAACTTTAAATGGGGCGACGCCAGAAATTACAATCTACTTTGTAAAAGCAGGCGTGATTTCTGCCTGTGATTATACTGGAAGGAAGTGAAATCAGCGGTATCTGCACTTGTTCCATAGCGCCTCTCACCTGCCCCGGGCTAATAGGCACCTGGTGTTTTCAACACCGCATTCCCAACGCAGCCCTTCAATTATTAAGATGCCTTTTCATTTTCGTGGCTAGTCTCCATGCCTTGGGTTTCTTATTCCAAAGCAAAGTCCAGAATATGTGGAGAATTACTCTATTATGAAAGCCAAGAGCAATCTAATCTCTTAGCCTTCCGGGTAGGATAGCAGCTGCCATTTGTAGGTCTTAGAAAAGATCACGGCAGCCAGTGGCATCTTTTATCTTGGTCACAGCCCTCCCCAGGTGGCTACTCTTTTGGCTTTGAAGACGGATTCGGAAGATGAAGGTGTGCTTTTACCATGTTATTGGCCCAAGCGATCAGATGGCCTCTCCACTTCACGCTCCTTATGTTCCCTTCCCCTTCGTGCAGAACACAAGACTTCCATCTGCTCATCCAAGAACGTTCAAACAGCAGCAACTACAAATACAAAAACAGATTTTTAGAAACCAAGAAGCATACTGGGGGCCTGGGTGGCTCAGTCGGTTATGTGTCCAACTTTGGCTCAGGTCATGATCTCATGGCTCATGGGTTTGAGCCCCGCGTCCAATTCTGCTGATAGTTCGGAGTCTGGACCCTACTTCAGACTGTGTGTCTCCTTCTCTCTCTTCCCTTCCTCTGCTCATGCTGTCTCCCACTCTCTCTCTTACACATTTAAAAAAAAGAAAAAGAAAAAACCGAGAAACATACACAAAATTTCTTTACTGGCTTTTTGTTTGTTTTGCCTGTCCACTGAACGTTGAACTTACTACGAAATCACACCACTAGATGGCACCAAAATACCAAAATTCATGGAGAAAAACCCCAGTCAGTCAAAAGATTTGTGTCACAGAAAGTTCTTTAAATATTGCCCAGAAATTATTTTGTAACTTGGGAAACCAAAACCTCATAATTTTTTCCTTGGAAGTAAGATATTAGTCATGGCTTGAACTGCAATCGTGAGAAGCAGCCCGTTTTTCATTTAACCCAAGAAAAAGAATTTAACAATGATGTTTGAACAGCAATTCACATTATAAAATAAGACAAACTTGCTTTAGGATTAAACTTCTTTAAAAAGGTCATAGTTAACCAGGGTCTTTACTTTAAAGGGAAGAATCTATAATAATAATATTAAAAACAAATCTACTGGGTGGGGGTGGGAAGCGCCTGGCTGGCTCAGTCAGTGGAGTATGCGACTCTTAATCTCAGGGTTCTAAGTTCGAGCCCCACATTGGGTATAGAGACTGCTTAAAAATAAAATCTTTAAAAAAAAAATGTACTGGATAAATTTTATCACCAAATATAACTGGTTAAAACCTCTAAGCTTGGTGAAGACATAGTTCTAGTAATTCACGCATTACTAAGGATACAATACTTTTTTCTTGATCCATCCAATTTAAATCCCTTCAGACATTTACACAACATAATATAAAATTTACATAATACATGACTTACAATATATAACTTCAGACATGTAATCCTGAAATAGATGTTTACCTTTTAAAAGGAACGACAGATTCTATCACAGAAGTTTAAAAATTCCTGTCTTTCGAGTAACTTTCCGTTTACCTAAGTATATTCTGTGTCCCTTCCCACCCCCAGCAAAGGGGAAAAATAGGTAACAGGAGAAAGAGAATAAATTCACATTTCATCTGTATTTCTTATATACCTTTCTCAATGGTTAGGCTCCTATATTCAGAAGAGGCACACAGACACGTACACACACCCCAAAACCTTAAAATTAAGTGTCCATCTTCATAAACACGCCAAGAATGGTCAGTTTAAAAATGATATAAATGCCTGAAGTTCTCTATTATCCAGGCAAAAATAGGTGGCCTCGCACGGTCCACAGTGGAGACTGGAGGCAGGGCTCTTACTGACCACATGGGGTCCAATCTTCCTGCTAGATAAAGGATATCTTCCTCTACGCTCTTGAAGATCTTCTAGCCCATCTCATCCTCTCCCAGTCTATGATCTAAGTAAGCAATCCCCACGGCCATGCCTCCCTGCTCGCAGATAAAGACCCTGAGGTCTGTCCTCTGTGATCGTGCCTCTTCCTCGGCCATGATGCAAACAACAGAGCCGAGGAACTCGCTGATGGTGTTCAGGATTTTGTGACGGGGGGAGTCTGAAATCTGAGAGAGAAGAAGAAAGCCTGACAATATAGCTCCTGCTACATGGTCCACTAAACACAGGTAGCTACAAACGATTATATTAAACACGAGGAATTGAGATCACAGTACTTATCTTCCGTCCGTGGCCTGACTCGGAGGGGATTTTAGGCAGTGGGCTGGGCCCGGGGAGCACCCCATAACCACCTGCTGGAAGGAACGGCTGGCTGGATGACAAGGAGGGATGTGGGGTGCAGACGGCATTGGAATGCTCTCCCTCCAATCCCACCCACAAGTGACCGACACAGCATGAAGTGGGGCCAATCTGCACCTGTGTGAGGAAAATTAAATATGCCCCAAATCTTAAACTGACATTTCTATAAACTATGACAGATATAAAAGCCCAGTGAAGGCCAGGATTTAATTCATTTTAAAAAAAAGCCCACCCCCGAGTAAGGGAGGAAATCAAACGGCGACCAGGGCACTTTGCAAACGAGTATATTACTACTGTGCTGTGAATCTGCACTTTAGGGGATGTGGTCAAAGTTGTAAGCCAGGGAAAGTGCACAGCTCTAAAAGTGAGTCATGAGCAAAAACAGACATGCACGTGCTAGATCGACGACAAAAGCAGAAATACTTTATCAGCCAATGTAATAGCAGAAGGTACCTAAATGTAAAGGTACATTATGTTCCCGGGTAAGAAGACTCAGGATCCTCACCGGAGGGATTAAGTCTTACTGGTTAATTTGTGATTTTCATGGAAGCACAAAGAAACCTCTAAAGGCATGATTTCTAGAACTTCCAAAATGCTATCGATTCATTTGAAGATATGTGAGAATAATAGGAATTTTTTTTTTTAATTGAGCAACTTGTGGGCGAGAGAATGGATGTTTTCATAAAATTTGCACTCAAAACCATATAGCGATGGTCCTAGAACTGACAGACGAAGTAAGAAGAAAAGGAAGAATGGACAGAGGGGAATCAGAACGAGGAGATCAGACCCTGGGGGGAGGGGGTGTGCACACACGTGCAGGGAACAGGGCGGCCTCAAACTACCGTGTGGTGATCTCACCTCTTTTCTGGAAGATTCCTTAGCACTGGGAGCTTAAAAATGACCCCAGGAAGTCCATGGCTAGAAATTTCTGCTAAAAAGTGATCAGACAAGTGAATAAAGAAGTGGGGCGCCTGGGGGGCTCAGTCGGTTAAGTGTCCAACTTTGGCTCAGGTCATGATCTCACGGTTTGTGGGGTCGAGCCCCATGTCGGGCTCTGTGCTGACAGCTTGGAGCCTGGGGCCTGCTTTGGATTCTGTGTCTCCCTCTCTCTCTGACCCTGTCCTGCTCACGCTCTCTCTCTCTCTCTCAGAAATTTAAAAAAAAAAAAAAAAAAAAAAAAAGTATGTCAACTTATTCCTAACAGCTATAATGTACTCACAACTGGGAAATGCTGGGGTAGAATGTGATAGAGCTAGGTCCCCAAAAGGTATGCATCTGGTCTTAAATGATTTTACAGATGTACGTTTACAAATATAAAAGGATGTTCGGGGCCCATTAAACCAAAAAGCAGATTGCAAAACAGTATTAAATATGATGACCCTTAAGTAAAACACGAAAGTGTATCCATATATAAAAATCTGAAGGATAGGTTACAAAGTAATCCTAATTAGTTCCAGAAATAGGTGACAGGAGATTTATAATATTTTTATTATGCTGCATAGAACATGTGAATTACTTTTATGTTAATACTTATGGGGATGGAACCCATTGTCCCGTTGTGGTAATCAGGATAGTCTAAGGTAACAGTTGAAACAAAACAGTCTCAACAAATTCCCTGAAACTCAGAGAAGGAAGGGGCGTTGGAGTCATACTGAGTATGTACTAGAATTAATTCACGTAAACCGTACCCACTTTTTAAATGAAGCATTAGCTTGAGGAAATTGGTAACGAGGTCTTGTTGCAATTTCCACCAAGACCCAAACTCACTCCGGCTGAGCCCTTCCGGTGTGGTGGGGGTGTTCCGGCGTCGGGCAGGGCAGTAGCTGAGGCCTGCGGACCCGGCCTGCCTTTGCCTCCTGCTCCGGCTCCGAGGCAAACCTCCAGCAGAGGGCAGGAAGGAAAGGAGGGAGGGGTTCCCAATCCAGCCGGTCTCCGGGTTGAGCCTGAGCTTCCCGAGTTTATCACAATACACCTTGAGTACCCTGCTCTGACCTGGGATCAGAGAGGCTCTTCTCTAATGAGATGTTCACAGTACAGACGGCACACGTCTGTGCTAACTGATGAGGGTTCAAAAACAAACAAAACAAAGGTTGGGCGGGGAGAGGGGGGCGAGAGGCTAAGGTACTACCTCCTGTAAAGGAAACACATTTGAACTCATTTACATCACAGTTTTAGACACGATTCGTGTTATTTTCTGATGTTTCTCAAAAGCTCAGTTTCAATCAATTTCTATTTTGTGGATTAAAAAAATGATCTATAAACAAACAGCCTTATTTATTAGGAAAGATCATCATTTAGGACTTTTTTTAAGTTTATTTATTTATTTTGAAAGAGCCAGAGACAGTGTGAGCAGGGAAGGGGAAAGAGAGTGAGAGAGAGTGAGAGAGAAAGAGCGGATCCCAAGCAGGCTCCGCACGGCCAGCACAGAGCCGGATGCGGGTCTCGAACTCACGAAACCGTTGAGATGGTGACCTGAGCCGAAACGTGGAGTCGGACGCTTAACCGACTGAGCCACCCAGGCGTCCCTCCAGGATTCTTTCCTAACCCCCTCATTTCTTGGTTCTGTACACATTTTAGGGTCAGGCTGGCTCTGCCGCGGGATCACGAACACCATGCTGTGTGTTGCCCGCTGGGACTCACACAGTCGCTTTCCATCTCCCCAGCACGCGGCAAGCGCAGCAGGGAGAGCGGCCCCGGGCGCTGGGCTAACGCACAGGGCGCCGGAAGCGTTCGATACCGAGGGCTTCCCGGGCCCCGCAGGCTGCCTGCCCGCCTTGCTGGTCGATGTGCACGACATGTCTGCCGCAGGAGGAACTCCGTCACCCCCAAACCCGCCAGTCACCCAGCCCACCGTTAGTGATGTCCCTAAGCCATTTTGAGCACACTGGCTTCTGTCCTAACCTCGAAAGCCTAAAGGAAAGAGCCCTGTGACTGACTGACACGCGATGAAGACAGCCCCAGTTGGCACAATCACGTCCCTGGAGAAAGGGCTCGGTTATCCCGGCTCCGTGTCCCGCACCTGGAACGTTGGTCCTGTTCCCTTTGTTTGATGCCAGAAGATAGAATGAGAGAGAGAGAGAGAGAGAGAGAGAGAGAGAGAGAGAGAATGAGAATCC